CGTGGAGGGTGACGTGGAGTCTACTTGGAGGATGACCTGGAGTCCACGTAAGGATCTTTTACATGTTGGCATATCCACATCAGCTATTTCAGTTAAGTTAACGTGCCATGTGAGCAAAAATTAATTGAAGGACCAAAAAGGGGCCGGATTTATGAACAGTAAGGACTAAAAAAGGGATTTCTTCGGTACATGGATCAAAAAGGGACTTTTTCCTATAGTAGAGGGACCAAAAAAGGTATTTAACCTTTACATATATGAGCTTTTCAAGATGAAACCGGAGGAGAGCATTCAAGATATGTATACAAGATTGAATGATATAGTCACCAATCTCAAGGCTCTTGGTAAAGTTTATCCTTCTCAAGAAGTAGTGAGGAACATTTTTAGAAGCTTGCCCAAGAATTGGGAAGCCAAGAAGACCACAATTGAAGAGTCTAAGGATCTCAACACCCTCAAGCTTGAAGATGTCATTGGAAAATTGATGACATATGAGATAGAAGTTCAAGTTGATGGTGGAGTTGAAATATTTGAGAAGAAGAAGAAGAATGTTGCTTTCAAGGCTAGCAACCAAAAGGAAGAGAGTGAAGATGATGCTAGTAATGATGAGTCTAGCAATAAGGAAGACATCACCAAATTGATTTCAAAGGAAGTGAAGAGATTCATGAAGAAGAACATCAAGAGCAAGTTTGCAAAAAGAGATGAAGGAGAGTCTACCAAAAGGAGTGTGAAATGTTATGAGTGTAACAAGATGGGGCACTATAGAAATGAATGTCCCAATTTGAAGAAGGGTGAGAAGAAAGGCAAGAAGAGCATGAAGAAGAAAGCTTTTGCTGCCACTTGGAGTGATGATGAGACTAGCTCAACGGAAAGTGAAAGCTCCTTGGAGAAAGGTGTTGCCAATCTTTGCTTCATGGCTCAAGAGGATAGCAACCATGATGAGGAGATAAACTCTAACTTCTCTAGTTCAATTAATGAAAATTCATTTGAGTATTTTTATGATGATTTATGCAAAGTTCTTGATTGATCTATGAATGACATTAAGAAACTAGGAAATGAGAATATTGCTCTTACTAAAACCATTTCATTGCTTAGGAATAAGATTGAATCTCTCTCAAAACAAAATGAGGTTTTAGTTAAAGAGAATGCCTCTTTAAATGGTGAGATTGCTT